GGTGCACAGTGTGAGGAGAGGGGTCTCACCGGCTCTGGAAGGTGTGGGGTCCTGTGGGAACACTCTGAACCCGCCACTGCCCACCCCGGTCGGGGAACAGCACGAGCTGGAGTGGCCTGGGCAGGGCCAGCTCCTTCTCCAGCTGGAAAAGGTGCTCCTTCCAGGGGCAGCCACCCTGAGGCAGCTCCAGCACCTGCCCACTCGAGTCCACCTGGGAAGGGGGACACCACGGGCACTCTGGGGGACCGTCCCCAGAGCCCCCAAATGGCCCCGGGGCTCAGCTTCACCCCCTGGGGCTCAGAGACCCTCACACGTGTAGGAGGGTGTGGATGGGGTGGGGAGAAGGTGGGGAGAAGAGTGGGCAGAGTAGAGGTGCAGAGCCCTGTGTGAGGGTACAGAGCCCTGTGTGGGGCACAGTGGGGGCTGCAGGGCCATGAAGGGAGGTTCATACTGAGGCCATTTGGCCTCCCCACACCCCAGAGCTGCCCCCCCACTTTCAGACCCCCCCAGATCAGTGGGTGGTACCTCGAAGCGGCGCCGAACGGCCTCTTCCACCAGCGCCCGTGCCGGCAGCCAGGCCCGGTGGTAGAAGTCGAGCCGGTCCAGGAACTCACTCCCCACCAGCTCCATCGCCCGCCTGAACCCCGCCTGGGGGCACAATGGGGGGTCAGGGGGGTCCCCAAGCCGGGTGTCTCCATCCCAGGGGTCTCCATCCTGGGTGTCCCCATCCCAGGTGTCTCCACTCTGGGTGTCCCCGAGCCGGGTGTCCCCGAGGGGCCGCGGTGCCCGTGCCCACCTCGGTGTCCTGGTCGGGGTCGTTCCAGCGGGGGTTCAGGTGCCCCACGCGGGCGCTCAGGGTGGTGGTGAGGGCGTAGCGGGGCTCCCCCTCCGCTTGCGCGATCCCGTTGTCGATGGCGTCGATCTCCTCCACAAAGTTCTCGTAGAGCTGGGGGGGGGACAGCGGGGACAGTGAGGGGACAATGGGGACAGCAGAGGAACAGTGAAGGGACAGGAGGAGACAGTGAGGGGACAATGGGACTGTGAGGGGACAGAGGAGAAAGAAGGGGACAGCAAAGGAGGGAACAGTGAGGGGACAGCAGGAGGAAAATGGGGGGAAGGCAAGAGGGGGACAACAGGGGCAGCACTGGGGGGGCACAGCAGGGCCCAACCACACACCAGTAGCTGCCACAAACTGGTCGCCTCTTTCCTGGAATCTCGTGTGAGGTGACACCCTCCCCTTCCCCAAAAGGAGCAGCCCCGGGCAGAGCTGTGGCACTGGGGGGGTCAGAGCCCCCCGTACCTTATCGTAGAGCGCCGTGACCACGGGCCCGTCCTCCGGCTGCCCCAGGAGCGCCGCCAGGATCTGGGAGCCGAAGTGACAATAGACCAGCCCGGCGCTGCTCAGCTTCGTGCTCCAGGGCTTGTCGGGCCGGAGGCTCCTCATGGACTCTGTGAAGGACCTGCAGGGCACCAGGGTCAGCCCCAGGGACCCCCGGGGACGCCGCTGTGCGAGCGGGCGGGCCGGGGGTGGGTCTCACCTCTGGTGGTGGTCGTAGCGGTGCCGCTCGGGGTCGTACTCGCCCCCCACGTCCACCACCACGTCACACTGGGCCAGGCGCTGGGGGTCCCGCGTCCGCACCACCTCCGCGTCCTGCCGGGGGGCACGCGGAGCATGAGGGTCCCCCGGAGCACCGGAGACCCCCGAGAGCTGCCCCCGGGGACCGGGGACGCCGAGGAGGGGCTGAGAGCTTCAGGGTGAGCCCCAGGTGACAAGGGACCCCGAGGAGGGGCTTCAGGGTGACCCCCAGGCGGGACCCCGAGCAGCCACTGGGTGGGTCCCAAGGACCCCCACGCGGGTCCGGGAGACCCGACGGTGGCCGCAGGTGGGACTGGGAGCCCCGAGCGAGGTCACAGGGGAGCCCCGAGGAGGGAGCCGGGCCCCGGCAGCGCACGGTGCCGGTGCCGTTGCATGGAGCCCGGGACCCTACCCGGTAGCGGGGCAGGAGCCGCAGCAGGAAACACGCGAGTGCCTCGTCGCAGTGGAAGGTGCCGTCGTGGGTGCCGATGAGCGGGGTGGGCTCGGGACGCGGCCGCTTCTGCCCGGCCGCGGTGGCGACGGAGCCCCCGGCCGCGGTGGCGACGGAGCCCCCGGCCGCGGTGGCGACGGAGCCCCCGGC